CCTACAGCCTACTGAAAAAGTATACCTATCTGGAACCATTGTGATTATGAACTTGACAGAAACCTTCACATTGAATGCCAGAACTGCTGTTATCTTTGGTCACCCAAGGGTGATCAAAGCGCCCTTGCTATAGACTGAGGTAATGGCTTGCTATCACTTTCCGGCGCTCTCAGAGTTCCCTTAGCATCTGGCTTGAGATTATGCCAGACACGATTAAGGGACTTCTTCTGCCCTCAGTTCCTGACAGCTGCAGTCAATTCCTCTTCTGACTCTTTGAGGATTAGGCAACATCAGGCAACTAAGGACACCAAAACCCTCTAATCTAGACAAATGGAATGTAATTACTTACTGCCCACCTGCAAGCTGTTGTCCTGACTTTAAAAATGCAGATCTTAGCCTGAGAATTAAACCAGATCTGTCGCTTTTGTTCCTTTGCTTGTGCCGTTGCTATAAAGGGACTTTTGGTCACTAGTTTATATAAAGAGTCCTTGGAACTGCCTCAGTCCTTCTGACACTCTCCCACCCTTTCTTTGAGAGAGGTCAGAACACCTGCAGCCCAAATGAGAGCTTTTTCTATGGCCTACCTATCACCGGAACTGTGCAGTCAGGTCAGGGGTTGTGGCGTCTTTGTTGTGATATGCATGCACAGGAGAGCATTTTGCTGAGACTACAGGCTGCTTCCGCACCACATTTGGCTTCACATTCCCCCCCCTCCCCAAACCACAGCAGGTTTTTTTCTTTGAATTGTCATGACATCGTCATGCCATTGTCCATCTTTGGAGAGGGATTTTGGCTCAGTGGTTTGCTTGGCTTGCAGAAGACTCCAAGTTCAATCTCTGGTGAAGTGGGAGAGAGCTGCTGACAATGTTGACCTTGATGAACCAATGGTCTGATTCAGTATAAAGGGATGTGTGTTCTGAGCGTCACCCCCCCCCCCCGCCTCAGTGCCCTTTCCCCCAAACCCACTTTGGTATGATCTTTCCAGAAAGACTGTACTCAAAGTACATTTAGCCATCGAGAGGGCAGGAACGTTCAGAGTTCTGCACCTACCCAGTCCACATGTGGCAACATTACCCCTGGCCACATCCCCCTGCCACCAATGGACTTCTTTTTTTAAAAAAACAGTAGTTAATTATATATTACTACTGTATAGTAATATACAGTATTATATACAGTATTGAGCTGCGGTGGCTCAAGTGGTTAAGACGCTGAACTGCAGGCTGTGGAAGGTTGGTAGTTCAGCAGTTCGAGACCCGAGTGTGCCGCGTGACGGAGTGAGCTCCCGTCTCTAGTTCCAGCTCCTGCCAACCTAGCAGTTCGAAAGCAAGAAATTGCAAGTAGATAAATAGGTACCTGGCGGGATCTGGTCCATGGGGTCGCGAAGAGTCGGACTCGACTGTGCGACTGAACAACAACAACAAAATAGGTACCACTTCGGTGGGAAGGTAACAGCGTTCCGTGCGCCTTGGTGTTTAGTCATGCCGGCCACATGACCACGGAAACGTCTTCGGACAGCGCTGGCTCTTCGGCTTTGAAACGGAGATGAGCACCGCAACCCTAGAGTCGGACTCGACTAGCTTTCGAGCAAGGGAACCTTTACCTTTACCTTACTGTATAGTCACTGCATGATAGCAATATACCCATTACTGATTTTTAAAAAAAATTGGCAAAAAGCAACCAGATAACAAGGGGTGGATGCTGGACACAACCAGGAAGAACCATCCCCGTGTAGATGCAACCAAAGTTTTAACATACTGCGTGTCTTATGGTCCATCTGATTTCATGTGGTCATTGAATACTGTGATTTGTTCTCATTTGTAAACCACTTTGGGCTTTTGGAGAAAAGGGGCATGAAAATATCGCCACAGTTTGCCTGCCTGCTTTTGCTCATGTCTCAGCAGTCAGAATCCCACATTCAGCTTTGCAGGGGGAAAAGTAGCGGAGGCTGTAAGAGGAAGGAAGGCAGCCTTCTTTGCCTGAGCCTTGGATTCTCATCATCTCAAGAAGGCACTGCGACTAGTAGGTTACAGCACACAGGAAGAGATTACAGGTTTAATCGAGGGATTCAGTCAAAAGGAAGTTCATTCAAGGGGAAGTGGTTTGCAATGACAGAGGAAACCCTTCCTCGTACCTTCCAATTGGAAGTCCAGTCCAGTTTGTTTCCACTCTTCACCTCCATTCCCATTCTAAGCTGGGGCATGACTTACTGGACAGAAGGTTACAGCAGGATCTACTGGAGTTGAGAGGAGCTGTACTGTCTATGGAGACACAGGTTGCACTCAAACATACTTACATTTCCTTTGACCACGTAATTTGAGTCATTCCTGATGTCTCTTGCCAGGCCAAAGTCACAGATCTTTGTTATGCGACCGTGAGTAAGGAGAATGTTCCTTGCTGCCAGGTCCCTATGAATGCACTGAAAAACAGAACAACAAAAAAAAAAATCCACACACGTGCACAAAAAAAAGGAAGACACAAAACAATAATTGAGTGTCTGTTATTTTACACTTGTGCAGAATTGCCAATCTGTTGCAAAATGAGAACCTTGTCTTGATATACTTGCCAAAATCCCAGTAATATAGCAGATAGGATACTGAGGATAGGCAAACAGATACTGGACCAAGGCAGCTTCATGAGGATCCCATGGCCAGGAAGGCTACCATCTTTGTTATGCGACCGTGAGTAAGGAGGATGTTCCTTGCTGCGAGGTCCCTATGAATGCACTGAAAAACAAAACAAAAAAATAAATCCACACACATGCACAAAAGAAAGGAAGACACAAAACAATAACTGAGTGTCTGTTATTTTACACTTATGCAGAATTGCCAATCTGTTGCAAAATGAAGAAGAAGAAGAAGAAGAAGAAGAAGAAGAAGAAGAAGAAGAAGAAGAAGAAGAAGAAGAGATTGGATTTATACCCCGCCCTTCACTACCCAGAGGTGTCTCACAGCGGCTTACAAACTCCTTTCCCTTCCCCTCCCCACAACAGACACCCTGTGAGGTGGGTGGGGCTGAGATAACTCTGACACAAACTGCTCTTTTTCCAGGACAGCTGTGCCAGAGCTTGTGTCTGACCCAAGGTCACATCAGCAGGTGCAAGTGGAGGAGTGGGGAATCAAACCCGGTTCTCCCAGATTAGAGTCTGCACACTTAACCACTACACCAAATGAGAACCTGGATCAAGGCAGCTTCATGAGGATCCCATGGCCAGGAAGGCTACCTGCGTTCAATCTCTCTACTGCAATTTAAGGAATATTTACACAGAAAGAAGTTCTACTGAAACTAATGGAATCTACTTTCAAGTAATGTCTTCTGGATTTGTCTTTATTTACTTTTTTCTACTCTTATCCTCTGCAATACTGCTGAGCTGTACTGAATGTTTTTTCCTATAGATGTGAAGGCCAAGAAAAAAAAATTTAAGTTGGTTTCAATTTTCATTTTTTCCCCAAGGACCATTTCCCAATGGCAAAAACGTAAGGATAAGGGGGAAGGTGCAGGTTGTTTCTGTCCCAATTGCCTGGAAAGGAATAAAGAGGGAAAGCTGCAAGACAGCTGGAAAGATACCATTTGTTTTGTTGATAGTGTGCTATAGCAGATATGTGTGAAGCACATAAGAACCCCAGCAGCCTTGACAGCCAAACCCCCGAGAGCCGGTGTGGAGATGTGGTAGAGCACATGTGAAAGGGAAAAGTAAAAAAAAAAGGGAAGTGCACAGAAAATTCATCTTGTGGGATCTCTCTCGCCATTGCATATGTCTCTGCATTTGCTGCAGCTATGAAAGTAGTGCCAAAAATTGTCACTGTGTAGAAGCAGCCATCCACACTAAATCAAGAATCAAGCTAATGTGCAGAAGAGTAGCTTCGATTGGAGCAAAAACCAGTTCACCGAAGTCCATGAATATAGAAGTGAATGTTCCCAAATCACAAGTTTGATCTTTCAGAAAGTGATTCTGATTAGAGAAAGAAATTTGAGAAGGCAGTATTTTGAAGAATGTATTACTTATCATTCAAATGACATCTAGCTAATTTGTCCATAGTTACTTTGAAAAATTGAAATTATTACAAAATTAAACTCACTGGATTGGATCTAGCCAGCTTTCCAGCTGGTGAAAAAAAGGAGGGAATCACCTCTGACCACCAAGGCTCCCTCTAAGCTGTGGAGTCCTGTGAGCAAAAATTCTACTTGGTGAGCTCCTGGCATTAAAGTTGTGAGCGGGCAATTTGGCTGCTGCATGAATTAGTTTGCTCTGGAGCCCTCCTTCCTGAGCTAAGACAAAAATCTGTGAGCTGGAGGCTAAAAAACTGTGAGCTAGCTCACACTAACTCAGCTTAGAGGGAACACTGCTGACCACCAAAAAGGCAGCGCTGGGGTTCATGGGAACTACATGGACAAAAGCCGCATGGGACAGGCAGCTGTAGTGAAGAGGGGAACTGGTGACATTGAGTGAAAAAGCTGGCTGGATCCAAGACAATGCCCAGATTTAACAATGGACTTAAATACTGTGACGTACTAGGCTGGAGGTGGGTAAGAAACAACAAACAACATCGCGTACAGCAGAATTTCAACCATGCTGAAAGGAAGGCCATAGACAGTCTCAGGAACAATCTGGATATTATAATTAAAGAAGCAGACAAAGGTGGAGCTATTGCCATCATGAATAAATCAGACTATATCGAGGAGGCCCAAAGACAACTCTCAAACACTGATTTTTACAAAAAACTGGACTCAGACCCCACACAGGAATACAGAAAGGAACTAACCAAGATTATAAAGGAATTACTACTGCATACACGGGAACAAATCCTTTCAGACACACCACAGGAACCTCAACCAGGTACCTTTTATCTTCTACCCAAAATACACAAACCAGGCAACCCAGGACACCCCATTGTCTCAGGTATAGGCATTACCACCGTGGGGGTATCTGGATATATGGACTCTATCCTAAGACCCTATTGCCACCAGCACTCCTAGTTATGTTCACGACACTACAGACTTTCTAAGAAAAATACAATCTTTGAACATTCTTCCAGAGAACACTATTTTAGCCACCATGGATGTGGAATCTCTGAACACAAACATTCTACACCAAGATGGATTACAAGCCATAAGGAATATAATTTCTGACAGCAACACAGCTGACTCTGCCACCAAAATGTGCCGTTTTGTTCTCACCTATCACCACTTCAGAACTGGCAACAAACTATTCCTCCAGATCAGTGGTACAGCCATGGGCACCCGCATGGCCCCACAATACGCTAACATCTTTATGGCTGACTTAGAGCAACGCTTCTTAAACTCCCACCCACTCATACCTCTCTTAAATTTGCATTACGCTGACAATATTTTTCTTGTGTGGACATATTCCACCAGGCATTCAATGACTTTCACCCCACAATCAAACTGATAATGAATCAATCTAGGCAAGAAATTTATTTTCTGGACACCACTGTAAGACTACACAATAGACCCATAGACACCACCTTATACCAGAAACCTACTGATCGACAAACATACCTCCACGCTTCCAGCTACCACCCTAAACACACCCAAAGGATCCATTGTATACAGTCAGGTTCTAAGCCACAGTCGCATCTGTTCCAATCCTATAGGCAGAGACTCCCACCTGAGGGATCTACAACAGACCTTTATGGAACTCAAGTTTCCATCTGATGAACAAAGCCAGAATGGTACCCAGAGAAAACCTGTTACAAGACAAGCCCAAAAAAGACAATACCAGAACACCCCTTGTGGTCACATATAACTCTCAACTCAAAACAGTTAAACGCATCATCAATGACTTACAACTTCTACTAGACAATGACAGTTCTCTTTCACAAATACTGGGAAGTAAACCTTTTTCTTGCGCACAGACAACCCCCCCAATCTTAAACTACTCCTCACCCACAATAATGCAACATCTAATTTGAAAATCAGAGCTTGCAATAAACCCAGATGCCAACTTTGCGGCCACATACACCCTGCCAGCACAGTCACTGGACCCAACAACACCGCAATCTCAGGAGCTTTCACTTGCTCATCTGCTAACATTGTATATGCCGTTGCATGCCAGCACTGCCCTTCGGCTCTCTACATAGGACAAACAGGACAAACCCTATTCCAAAAGAGAAATGGATACAAATCTGACATCAGGAATCACAAGACTGAGAAACCTGTAGGTAGGGGAAAACTTCAACCTTCCAGGGCATTCAATGGCTGACCACAGAGTAACTGTTTTATTGCAAAGGAACTTCAGGAACAGAATGGAAAGGGAAATAGCTGAATTACAAGTTATTACAACACTAGGAACAAACACCCCGCCAGAACTCAACAGGGATATTAGTTTCTTGTCCCATTACATATGCTAACTCATTCAATCCCCACATATGTATTCTCACCAAGTAGGGCTATACATCCCCTATATTTTGTTGTTTTTCTTTTCTTTTTCAAATAGTATATTATAATAGTGATTGTCATGCAATGCAATAGCTTGTTGATCTCTGACATAACACTGTACCCCAGGAAAAGGATTCTGTCAGTTAACTCCATGTTTTAGTGAAACAAAATGTTATTACCGCTCTTAACAATTAAGAATGTAATTGAATATGTAATGTAATTTGGAATGGTAGATTTAAATGTAGTTCTCTGTTTTGGGGACAAGGAAAATACTCTGCACAGCCAAGATGGCTGTAAAGTTCGCCTCCATGCTAGAAAGGAGATGGATGGGGGTCTAAGGATGGGATTCTCACAAATTAGGACACATCAATCTCCAGTTCTAACATATTTATTACCTGTGTTGTTTTTCCCTCCCAGATGAACCAAAACAGATGATAACCAGAAACCAGAGCTTGTCATTCTTTTGGTCTGTTTAAAAAATCTATTTTCACTATTTTGCATGCTAATTTAACAAGCCACCCCTATATATACACAACTATGATATGTAATTCCATTTCATCATCTGCCAAAGTGTGCATGCACATCAAAGCTCACATCCTGAATAAAACTTTGTTGGTCTTAAAGGTGTCATTGGACTCTTAACTTTGTTCTACTGCTTCAGACCAACATGGCTACCCACCAATGCTCCCTCTAAGCTGTGGAGTCTTGTGAGCAAAAATTCTACTTTGTGAGCAACTGGCATTAAAGTTGTGAGCCATCAATTTGGCTACGGCATAAATTAGTTTGCTCTGGAGCCATCCTTCCTGAGCGAAGACAGAAATGTGCGAGCCAGAGACCAAAAAAATGTGAGCCAGCTCACACTAACTCAGCTTAGAGGGAACATACCCACTTGATCTAGTTTTCTTTATAGTTGGAAGCAATCTGAAAGATGTTTCATTGCTAATGGTTCATATACTAACTCCACTGTCACTTCTAGTAGGCAACTCCTGCGTGCTTTTCAGGGCCATTCTAAGCAGAGTTACCCCCTTGAAGCCCACTGACTTCAACAAGACATAAAAGGGGGTAACTGCTTAGGATCACAGTGTTAGAGAGTAATCTTAAGCAGGTCTACTTAGGTTAATTAAATTTTCAGCTGTGGCCTTATTTTACAGCACGGTCCTAAGAACTCTTTTCCTGGAGTAAGCCCCACTGAGTAGTTTGGAGCAGGATTCTGAGTAGACAAAGATTTGCGCTGTTAACGCCACCCTTTATGAAGAAATCATTCACTGTCTTCAGTTTCCAACTTACATTTTTAGAGGCAAGGAAGCTCATGCCCATTGCAACTTGGTGAGAAAAACTTATCAGATCTTCAATATCCAGAGCCAGTTCATCATCTTCTAAAATGGCTACAGTGATGTCCTGATTAGCAAGTGATCCTAAGCAACACAAATGGGAGCAATATCATAAAATGGATTAATTATGGCTGTTTGGGATGATACTCCACTAGCAGATATTCCATTAGCAGAGCCTGGTGCTGAATTAATACACACAAACAGAGAACCTGTTATCAAAATGAAGTCATTTTGACCGTCTTGCAACTATCCAACAGAAAAAAATAAAACAATTTTAAAACGGCAGGATACATAGTTAAAAGTTCTGCGCCACCAAATTAGGTTTTATAATTGGACATGTCTGGCTGGTACAGATAATTTAAAAACTGAACCTTTTCCTTCCTTCCTTCTTACCAGCATTTTGGGATGTAAACTTACCTGGCCTCCCTGGATGTCTTGAGGTTGTTTTGGCATGGATGATCTGAGAAACTCCCGGTTTCATGTCCATGTATTCATTGATGCCATCGCTGAAGGGAAGCAGAGGGATCATGAGGTAACTTAATACATGGCACACGACAGAATGTGAGAAGATTCATCTGCCGATCAGGAACGTTAGGGAGGGAAAGCCTTGGGAGTTGGATTATCTCAATGGATTTCTACTTTCTTTTTGCAGCACTCAGGCACAGCAGATAGAAACCATCCAGAACCACATCTTATTGGAGTGATATATGGATTTTGCAATCTAGAAAGTTCTAACATCTGCTGGGACTTGAGTGGGTGGGTAAGCAGACCTTGGAACGGCCTCTTTTCCTGTGAGAGGGAGCTGTCTCTCCAGGTCTCCAGTTGTTCCTCAGTCTGAGAATGAGTGACAAGTAAATCCTGACATGCCCTGAAGCACCCTGGCCTGAGAGACAGCAAACAAGTGACCGTCATTGGATCCCACATAATCTGGTTACTTGGGCAGTACAGATCTTAGTGAGCTGGTAAACTGAAATGGATGTCTATTTGGTTGTGGGATTCCTAAATAAAATTATGACTTTAATTAAAGGGTCCTTTCTAACGACAAGCTAATCTATAGCAGTCAAAGACTTAGTCAAAAGCTTATGGGTGTTAGGTTTAGCTTGGTTTAAAAAAGGACCTATTTTATATGATGGATAGAGCCCTGTCTAAGTCGAATCACAGCACTCAGTATTCAGAAATTCAGGTGGCCACAATGCAACACTGGATGGCATTAGGCAAGGCCTCATTTTTAATGCCAGCCTAACTTACAAGGATCCTGTGATGCTAAAAATACAGCCCTGAGTTCCTTAAAGGAAAAATGAAATATATTAATCAGTACAAATCTATAAAAAAACAAAAATATACAGAAGATGCACTGTAATTTCTTGGCAATGACAGGAAACATTGGCACATCTTTACCACATGCGTTCGTTTTGATAAAGCAGGTTCTTGTAAACAGCTGTCTCTTCGTGCTTGGGAAAAATAAAGGAATCACGTTTCCTTCTCAGAAAATTCAAAAGGTCACCATAGCAGCAGTATTCCGTGATGACCAAAGTGGGACCTGCAGATGCGAAGGAAGTCAGAAATAGCAGGTGAATTTTGAAGCCTGGCTCAGGCGTTCTTTAAAAAACAACAACAGATTATTCTGGTACATGCACAAAAAGGGGGCATTTCAAACAACACTGTAGAGCAGTGTTTTTGCTTGGAAAAGTCACGGTGAAATTACATCAGCAGCCTATTCAGAAGCTGGGCCCTACTTCCAATTAAAACGATGTCATTCCCAATTAATTACTTCCAACACCAATAGTACTGCACTGTTGAAAACAAAGAAAAACATGCATTAAATGAAGCCTTGTGATAATGGTGCAGGACCAGACACATCTGTTTCATTTTGGAACCCTTCCTGAAGGAAGTTATCTGTTCCAAATGTAAGCTTCTCACATTAATCCCTTTGATTCACTCCTGTTTACAGTAGGACTTCTCACTCTAACAGTAATGTTTCGGAAACGATGTAAAATATTATACTCCTCGGCGTAATAGGAAAAACCATCCAGACAGAACAGCCTACTGAGACAGAAAGCTAGAGGCTCAAGACCTTTTTATATACTATCAAAAGTGAAATTTGAAAACGGAATCAAGCCGAATGTTTTGAGATCAAATATGCCTTTTCTGAACGCCTGGCTGCCTCTATGTCATTTAAATATGTAATAACGCTGCGTGGTATTTCAATTATAGGATTCCGTACCAGTCCTACTTAATGTGGGTAGCTTTTTCACCCTTGGTTCACTAACTACGGTGTTTTTTTAAATAGCAATACACTTAAGTTTATGCCAGGCAGGAATTATGACAAGGGCCTCCTAGACTGACTCTAAGAGCATGTAGGCACGCATAATTTAATGAGAGGCTTAATGAGTTGGGGCTTCCCAATGGCGGAATTGCCCATACGGCAGTGTCCTGTCAGAAACAGTCCTTTGCTGCTCTCAAAACCCCTTGAGACCGGGGTCTTGAGAGCAGCAAGGACTGTTTCTCACAGGACACTTCAACACTGGCAGTTAGAACATAAGAACATAAGAGACGCCAATGTTGGATCAGGCCAAAGGCCCATCCAGCCCAACACTCTGTCACACAGTGGCCAGAAATACCAGTGCCATCAGGAGGTCAACCAGTGGGGCCAGTACACTAGAAGCCCTCCCACTGTTGACCCCCCCCCAAGCAGCAAGAAGACAGAGCATCACTTGCCCCAGAGTCCCTATCTATACTTTGTGGCTAATAGCCACTGATGGACCTCTGCTCCATATGCTTATCTAATTCCCTTTGGAAGCCGTCCATGCTTGTAGCCACCACCACTTCCTGTGGCAGTGAATTCCATGTGTTAATCACTCTTTGGGTGAAGAAGTACTTCCTTTTATCTGTTCTAACGGTACAGCTGTACAGCTGGATACAGTTCAGCTGTACCCCTGAAATAAAAGATTCTACCAGGTGTGCATGCTAAACTTAAGGGACACGCTGAAAACTGTACCTCCAACAGTGCAAGCTCCAAGCAGATTCACAATGTTGATGTGGTTGCCAAGGTAACTTAACACTTTCAGTTCTGACATCAAGGCTTCTTTTTCAGTGAAATGGGCACTGGCTAGAAAGAGAAAGAGGAAGCACCATCATGGTGATGTAGTGCTGAATAAGCACCCGACAGATCCACAATGAAGCTTATTGGGTGACCTTAGCTTAGTCACACTATCTCAGTCTAACCTCACAGGGTTCTTTTGAGAATCAAATGGCATAGAACGGCTGCCCAGACCTCCTTGAAGGAAGGTCAAGACTATAAATGTATAGATGTGTAGAAGTGTAGTGACCAAAACAGCCAGCAAAAGGAAGCTGCCAATTAGCTTACAGTCAGATGCATGCGGAATCTCCTGTCCCATACTGACCTCCAGCTTTTTAAAATTCTTCCAAGAAAGCCCTGCTGAAGAATTCCCTGGAGTGAGGCAGATTGAAAACGACACTTCTGCTTCATAGTACAACAACTCACTCCCAAAGGAGGCCTGCTTGGCTAACTTTTCAGACAGGAACTGGCTGTTTAAGATGGACTACAGAAACTATGCTGTAGTTGGCTGGAATGGTAGCTTGTTGTTCGCTATAGTTATTGTGATGTTACTGTTTACTTTTTAATCTGCTTGTAAACTAATCTGGGGCCCCCCTGGACATCAATGTAAGAGGCAAATTTTTAAAAGAAATAAACGAAACAGAAATCCAGGGACTTACGTTTGAGCATTTTTACAGCAACTCTGATTGCCCCATCTGGTTTGGACAGACCATAGGCAGTGGCTTCGACGACTTTCCCAAAAGCTCCGGCTCCAAGAATTTTGCCTGAAGTATTTCCATAAAGCATAAAAAAGAATAAGCAAAACAGATTGGTGATGTGATTTAATGACGCAGGATGAATTAGCCAGTCCAGCTGAAAATATTTTTTTTTAAGTAATCAAAACTGGGATAGCCAAGGTAAGACCCACAGCCAGGGTCCCACCCACTAAGAGGCCATTTCATCTATCATGAAAGGCATAACAAAACTGTGCAATTTATGACACGGAAGGAGAGAGGAAGGGAGTATTTATTTCTCCAGTACTATCACGTAGGACACTGTTATTAGAGGCTGTGGTATACATGCCCATCAATATCACTTCCTTTCACACCACCTCCCGTTTTAGTCTTTCCCACTGTACAACAACTTCCCACTCTGCTGTCCCTATATCCTGGTTATCTGATATCCATCACATGTAAATAGGTAGCTATATATTAACAGGTATCTACACAGTCCTGGTACTGCTTGCTGCTTTTAAATGTCATGACACTGGAGCATCATGGTCCCCAGAGTGCCAGATTTTGGTGAAGAGTGTTATTTTTGGCATGGATTTTCTGCCCTTTCCCCCTAAAATGTGGCCAGCGACAGTGAAACACTATGAGATGCATGACTAGTCCTGGGATGACACATCTCTGGTGAAGGGCTGTCTGGTCTACGAAGAAACTTGGCTTAGCCTGACACTGCCACAACACTGCCAGAAACAGGATCCTTAAATTCTGGCACCAGAATGCATCATTCGTACATATTATGGTGCACAACATGGTTAGACAGGCATAACAAGAGGCTCTGCCTGTTGATTCCTGGTCATTCAAAAGTGAAATCTTTCAAATTTATATTTCAAGAGTACGCAAACTAACCAAAGCTTAGCCGGTTCCTAGGAAACTCCCACTTGTCGTCATATGGCAGTTGCGTAGGGTCTATGTAAACGTAGTTGTTTCCATTTATTTCGTCAACCACTTTCCACTGAACTTCATACTTGGGTTTCTGGAAAACAGGTAAAACAATTCGGAATGCTAAAACTTGGGGAAATAAAAGCGGTTGCTAAAGGATGTCGCTGGTGGTGGGGGTGGGGTCACAGAATGGAACACGATACAGCCTGAAACAGGAGTGAAATCCCATGGAAAAAAGGCAGGCTAGCAATACAACAGTAGTGAATGCCTGAGTCTTACCTGGAGATATTTGTACATAAGAACCATAACGGTGATGCACATTGTTCCTGCTGCTACCCCAAAGCCAATCAACAAAGGAGTGAAAAGGGTGTGGGTACTGATTTGTTCTAGAGAGAGAGAGAGACAAAAATGCCCAATGTAAAATGCTGCACAAGAAAATCCTAGAACCAGCCTGCCCTTTTATTGCCATTTCAGTTTGAAATTAAAGCACTGAACTGGAGAGAATGGATGTTTCTACAGAGGTTGCAACTTCTGACAGGGCACAAATGCTATTTAGTGATTAAAAAAATATTCCACTGGCAGTAGAAATCATAATGTCACTCTCAATTTCCTTTTTATTGATGTCAGTGCACTTTTACAAAGCTGTCCAAACACTGCTTTGGGGTAAAACTGCAGAAAACCAGCAAAGAAACAGCAAAACAAAAACACCTAATATAAAGGATTGGATCCTGTGTTGTACATGGGGTAAGGGATTGCATACTCTCCCCACCTTCACCTTTGAGCTTCCAGTTTCTGACTCCAGAAAAGTTTATTAATGGGGTTAGATCCAGGCGGACAGCCGTGCTGGTCTGAAAAAGCAGAACAAAGTTTGAGTCCAATGACACCTTTAAGACCAACAAAGTTTTATTCAATGTGTGATCTTTCGTGTGCACGCACACTGTGTCTAAGGAAGTGTGCATGCACACGAAAGTTCACACCTTGAATAAAGCTTTGTTGGTCATAAAGGTGCCACTGGACTCAAACTTTGTTCTATTAATGGGGTTGAGGGACTTGTGAGGATTAATAGGCTGTGCAAAGTCAGGCAGCTGCAGTGGAGAGCAGGAAGGGGGTGAAATGGTTTCCTCTATCGTGAGTCGAGCTCTGCTCATGCAAGAGGCAGAAAAGGAGAGCTTGTTCCCTTCCCCTCCCCCCTGACAGCTGACCAACTGAAGCAAGCCCTTAACCCTTACAATAAACCTTCTGAGGGCCAAAAAAGGGCTCCAGGGGGGAGGGGAAGGTGGGGAAGATCCTGGACCATCAGCTCTTTCCACTTGTGGTTCACAGGATCGAAGCCAAAAATGAATGAGAGAATATCTAACATAGGAGGCATCATGGTGAAGAAAGTGAAACACACATTTCTCTATACAAACTTATTTCTCTATACAACTACATGGCTCATTTCAAACAGCAGGTCCCTGTCCCAAGGAGCTTTCAGTATCTATCTATCTATCTATCTATCTATCTATCTATCTATCTATCTATCTATCTATCTATCTATCTATCTATCTATCACTGCTCATACGGCTATCATCTTAAGCAGAAATTAGAACCAAAGAAAATATTTTAAAAGACCTTACTCAGTATTATTTCTCTCATATTTGATTATTGCACCTATGAATTTTGCCACTGAGAGGGTGACACGATCCTTGGTATCCGATAGTAGCCATGACGACACCTGGGCTCGCACATTTAGCAGTTCCATATCTTTAAGTAAAGGGGTGACTAAATTAGCCATCAATGTGTCGAATACAGGGCACTCCATAATCATATGTTCAATGGTTTCGATTGCATGATAGGAGTATGATACTTTATTATATCTGCCCTCCGAAAATTACCGAGGGGAGAATGTTCAGTCTTGCCAAAGTAAAAGCTCTTCTTCGTTTTGGGACTGTCAATTGATAAAAATATTTTGGCAGTTGCATCAGGAGGGCAATTCCCAAATGATGAAGATGAAGACGATGAAGAAGAAGAAGATGAAGATGATGAAGACGAAGAAGAAGATGAAGGAGGAGGAGGAGAAGTAGTAGTTTGGATTTATACCCAGCCCTTCACTACCCAAAGGTGTCTCAGAGTGGCTTACAGACTCCTTTCCCTTCCCCTCCCCACAACAGACACCCTGTGAGGTAGGTGGGGCTGAGAGAGCTCTTGACAAAACTGCCCTTTTTCAAGAACAGCTCTTATCAGAACTACGGCTTGCCCAAGGTCATCCAGCCAGGTGCAAGTGGAGGTGTGGGGAATCAAACCCAGTTCTCCCAGATTAGAGTCCGCACACTTAACCACTACACCAAACTGGCTCTGAAGTGTTGAACATACCCTGCACGTCCTAATAGACGAACTTGTAACATCCAATTTCCTTACAGATTTTTTAATTTGTCTTCTAATGTCTTTAGTTTCTGTATTTTTAATCATATCATTTGTTATTCCTAGGCATTTCATTTTCTTTTCCAATAGTTGATCCCATTGGCTGTAATGTGTATCTTCCTGAATAAGCCCAAGTAGAGTAGATCCTCCCTCAGATTTTAAAACCTTTACTTTAAAGAAAAATGCTTTAATCCAAGCCCATCGGTAATTCGCCTAGTTATGCTTTCAGTGCTATGCCCGAGACACAACTAGGAGTAGCCAATAAGCGTTGGAAAAAGTCATACTGGATGGAATCAATTTTTTCAGAAGAGTCCTGAATCCAAATTTCCGCACCGTTACAGGAACTGATTTAGAACCTTAGCATTAAATACCTTTAAGGCCGAGGGGACAAATTGGCCTCCTGATGAGCACACGTATTTTACAATTGTCTTCCCTACTCTCAACGCTGTGTTCCTTGCTAGATCCAAGTGTGTCTTCCATGCAAGAGATGCTTCAAAGTGGATTCCCAGAAATTTAAATTGATTGACCTGTTCCCTAGCTTGGCCTGCCGGCTTTCAGTATACATTTCAACAAATGAGGTATGGAAGGTAACAAACAACAGAGACCGGGGAAGCTGCAGCAGGTGAACCACGATGAATATCATGTTGCCAGTCGGGCGGTACAGTTGAATGGCTCAAAGCATCAAAGGCCCTGTGTGCAGTTTCAAAGATTACTCTGGCCCATACCTTTAATGGCAAAGTTGAAAAAATTAGAGCTGCTGGCAACGTCATTGGAAGCATCGCATTTGATGGTGCCGTTGTTCTTGAACCGGCTGGCATCCAGGGTGCTTGCGACCACTATCCTTCCAAAAGAAGGGAGGGGGGAAGTGCTATGATTGGGCTTCACATCCACTGGAGATATTTTGGCTGAATCTGAACACCTGGATGAAACACAATACACTTGGAAATAACCACATTTGGCGGACAACTGACTGACTATACAACATGCTGATGTTTCCTAAGGCTACTGGCTTGTACCTTCCAGGCTGCCAATGTACAGTGGGGAGTGGTTTCTACTGATACCCCCTTCCCCCACGGCAGGCCTCCAATTTATCCCCTATGCTTTTCATGTCTTTGGATCCCCAGGAGCAAACTGGTAGTAGAGGAGGAGCTGAATGGCCTGCAGCCGAACAGAGACGCAAGGAAGTCCCACTTCATGAGCTCCATTTCTACTCACAGATCTCATAGGACAAAAGTAATATTTTTACACAATAGACCACGTATTTAAAAACATTACTTTTCACCAGGGCTTTTTTTTTTCTGGAAAAAGAAGTGCCGGAACTCTCAAGAGAGAAATGATGTTTTCAGTCTGTATACTGAAAACTTGTGAATTTTTAAACATTTTTAAAAGAATTTTGTTGAAGAGGTTCCGGAACTCCATTCCGGTGCGTTCCCTCAGAAAAAAAAAAGCCCTGATTTTCATGTGTAGCTTGTGAGAAAATATGACATCAGATCTTGCTGTCTTATCCTATGTGTGTTTTGAAATATTTTACACTGCCGTTGTAAGCAGAGTTATACCCTTCTAAGTCCATTTACTTCAGTGGGATTCCAGGAGCATAACTCTGTTCAGGACTGCACGCTTATTAACCTATTGTACTTAAGAAACTGATCAACAAAATGTTTGCTGCCTATTCTAACAAATTCTCATGACTTTTTTTTACAACAGTCCAAAAATTTTTATACTTAAGGACAGACCCTAAGGTAGCATCTATCAGGGATGATCCCCCCTCCCCAGTCTTTGGGTCAAGTCCTACTTTCAACCAAAATAATAGTTAGCGCCAGGGGTCATTTCCTGCAGGAGCACACAGGAGCGGAGCTCCGGCAGTAAAGAGCCCAGGGGGCGGGCACATGCAACAAGCCCCACCCACTGCTCCCAGCAGCCCTCAGTCAGAGCAAGAAGCAGCCAGGTATGTTGCAGAGCCCCCCCCCCCGGCCCCCCAGTCCAAAACAGTCCAGTGGCACCTTTGAGACCAAGTTTTATTAAGGTACAAGCTCTCCTTCCTCTGCGAGGACAGATCTGCACGTCCCCCCCCCCCAATAGCTAGCAATCCAGAACAGTCCAGTGGAGCCTGAGCAGTGGGTGTTGCCTTCTGGCATATGCAAATGAGTTATGCTAATGAGTTATGCTAATGAGCTCCCGCATCTCTTTGTCTACAAAATGACCCCTGGTTAGCGCAATTCACCTGGAAAGTCTCCTTCCTGAGTAAGTCTCAATGACATTTTGCAACAATTCAGCTGGCTTAAAAGGGCTGCGTTGCACAGGAACAGAAAAAAGGGAAGTACAGAACCAGCTGCTAAGCTGTTTGGACTCTAAAGCCCCTGCTCTGCTGCAAAGGGAGTCTCTGTTATCTTAGGGCAGCAGCTTATGCCAGAATGGCGGCAGCATGATACAAGGGGGGAATTTGGGGCTGGAGTCATTAAGAGCCACGGGACAGGATACTTGAGAGCGGTTTCATTTCCCTTGTGTCAGTACACACTTGTATAAGGGAAAAAGGACACTGGGCAAGTTGAGAGAGAGAAAAGTTGGTTCTACTTTATTATCATCCACAATAACACTTTTAAGCATCCACTAGAATTTGGGAAGGGGGAGCAAGACTGGGCTCCTCCTAGTAAACGCAGTCCCTGTTGCAATCAAATCTTTGGATTCATTTTTACAAGGCGCAATGCTAGATTTTCATTGCTGTTCGTTACCACTTGAAATCACTTCTGGATGAAGTGTATTTTCTGACTTTGGCCATTTTGCCTTTGCTGATGAAAAATGTGTATTTCAAAAGCAAACTTAGGGAAAAAATAACTTTTGAAAAATGATTCAGGGAGAAAATGTATTATCTTCCAGCAATAATGCCTGGAATGCTGACAAAATAAGTGAGTATTTTACACGCCTTGTTTGCAAATCCTCTACCTGCATGAAAGGACATACAATCTTCTCAGAAACTTGGTAATTACCTTTGTAGTTAATTCCCCCCACCCCAGCTTACAAGACACATTTACCATATAATCTAGTGTGTATAAATGGGAATCTAATTATCCTGTGTCCTGGAAAATTGTGTTATTACATGATAAATCCAAAAGATAATAGCCATACACAGAAGCTATTCTGTAACTGTCATTCTACAGGGTTCAATAATTAGGGCCAAGAACAGCCCCGTTGTAAGTGGATGCAAGTCTTCTGAAGTGCAATTTGGCCCTTAATGCCTAGTCATAAATTACAGTGGCTCATTTAAAAAAAAAAAAAAGTAAACAGCGGAAAACCCCACTATAAGTAAGACTACTTACACAGCAGAAGAGAGTAACTGGAGGCCCTGAACAAAATTAGCCCCTGGAAGAAATCCAGTTGCCCCATGGCACTGCCCAGCTACAGGCAAAAGAGGTGTGTTGGGGGGGGGGGAAGAGAAGCATCAGAACCTGCAGACAGGCCATTTGAGAGGTGGTGGAGAGTAGAAGCACTGGCCCACAACCACCACTCTCTTTGTAAGTGGCCCTCCAGGAAAACTACCTGCTGACCAGGGTTGCAGATGATGCACAACTCGAACATTTTGTGGCTGGTTTTATTGACGCTGTTGTAACTAACATCTAACCCAGTGTTAAAATGCATACCAAAAGCAGATCACCCACTCACCTTGGCTCAGCTGGCGGGCAGAAGTACCAGTCTATTGTAGGTGCAGGATACCCAGCTGCTACACAGTGGAACATGCCATTGCTAAGCCTGTCCAAAGAGAGAATCTCTGGTTTGGCTGGAAAAAAAACAATGCAGGGGAATATAGTCATTCCTCTGGTCTATTCATTGCTGCACATTTCTACCTTGGTCCTAATTCAACCCAGATAACTGAAACACGTTGACTAGTGTGGGCCTGAATGGAGGAAGCTGCTTAAGCAAACTGAGAAGTAGCATCTAAACCATTTCACACGCTTTGCCTCATCAGATCTTGTTAAGACCCATTTATGGCTGGAACCGCAATCCACAGCCGCCTTGTGTACTGAAACCCCAACCCCAACTGCTGCTGCTCTTCAGCAAAATTTGTAGAGGAGAGGCATCAGACGGGGAGGGGTGCTTAACCATTCAATCTTCTACTGCTTACCCCTGCAGCTTCAGATTTTCCTCCAGCTAGACTGCAAAGTAAGCCTGTGCCTAGAGCTTTTGCTTAAAAAGAAGGGGGGAGAGAGGAGGAGTTGCGGGGCAAAATAGCAAGAGAGAGGCGATGCACCTCTCCTACTAATTCTGTACTACAAATCACCCATTCTTTGCACAAAAACTGGCAGCCAGGGCCTCATGAAATGAAGTGGACAGCTTCAAGAGGGAATTGGATAAACATATGGAGCAGAGGTCCATCAGTGGCTATTAGCCACAAGGTATAGATAGGAACTCTCAGTCTGGGGCAAGGGATGCACTGTATTCTTGGTGCTTGGGGGGGGGGGCAAACAGTGGGAGGGCTTCTGGGGTCCTGGCCCCACTGCTGGATCTGCTGATGGCACCTGGTATTTTTGGCCACTATGTGATAGAGTGTTGGACTGGATGGGCCATTGGCCTGATCCAACATGGCTTCTCTTGTGTTCTTATGGCTGTGGAACACATAGATCCAGCTTCAAACAGACAGGTATTACAGATGTGACTGAACAAAAGTAACTTGTCTAAAACTACCTAGTAAATAGAAATTTGAACTTAGGGGTTATAGCCTATTATTTCACGTAACCTGCTCAAGGCACAAGAAGCCTTCCACTGGAAGAAGAACCTGGGCCAGGAGAAAGATCTACATTTAGCTGAACTGAGTGATACAATGCAATCCATAATCATTTCACATAGTTTCATACTATGTTCACTCTTTATTTGCTTTAATTACCAAAACTAGGGATCAGGTGGACCCCAAGACCTGCTTGTTCTGCTCCCCTTCTCGCATGAGTTCAGGAAATGTAAAAGAGGTATCAGGGCAATTATTAAAACACCATTTTAAAAAGGAGGTTCGTCTTTTAAGTGAAGCGAAGATTAATGGCTTCCTACTTTGTTACATGGCTGAAAAACACATCTCTACAGATTAAGGATTTTAGTATTGTTTCCTTTTCCAAGACATTATGCTTTCTTTTATTACATTTGTTTTAACAAACTGCAGCACTGCTGTGTGTTAAGATTAGTATCTGAGCCCAGGGGAAGACAGCAGCAATAAATAGGATTTACAGACATTTATCCCAGCTGACTTTGAAAAAGCATTCAGAAGAACAGGTATACCAAGGAAAGAATTTTGACAAACTTTTTCATAACATCCTGAAAGGATTTATTTAATGGAGGAGCTGGACAGCTCTACTAGGAATGGAAGCCAAAAAAGGTTGGAAAAATACGCCTTGATATTCAGAACCACTCCAGATCCTGAGTTACCAAAAAAATCCCAGAAAAAAAATTCAACTGGAAAGAACTAGTGTCACAGTGCCTTGACCTAGATAGCCCAGGCTAAGCCAATCTCGTCAGATCTTGGAAGCTAAGCAGGGCTGGCTCTGGTCAGTATTTGGATGGGAGACCACAAAGGAATACCAGAGTCATGACATGAAGGCAGGCAATGGCAAACCACCTCTGAATGTCTCTTGCCTTGAAAAACCCATAGGGTCACCAGCTGTGACCTGATGGCACCCCCAAAAAAAACCCCCATAGTGGCAAAAGGACGAAATACGAGCCAAGAAATCTCCAGTCCGATTCCTAGCTCAATCAGACATTCAATGAATGACTTTCGAAGAGTTTGGGTTCCTGCCTGCCCTGTAACCTGGTGATATATCTGCCCGCCTTGTAGGCCAGTTGTAAAGATTACTAGCAGTGTAACCTATACCCTACCACGCCTACTCAGGGCTATTTTGGGGCAGAAACACACAGGAACGGAGTTCCGGCTGGCTCCTGAGTTGGTCACGCCCAGCAGGAACTCATTAGCATAATAGGCACACCTAACAGCAGAAACTCATTAGGATTGGCTACATTAGGGGTGTGTGGCCTAACAAGCAAAGAAGTTCCTGCTACAAAAAAAGCCCAGGGTTTTGACAACAAAGTAAACAGAACAAAAAGCAAAAGGTGGGTGTGGCTGGATGACCACACTTCTGGTAACATGGGGGTGTGGCCTAATATGCAAATGAGCTGTGCTATCAGGGGTGTGGCCTATATGATAATGAGTTTCTGCTGCTGGGCGGGGCCTATTATGCTAATGAGTTCCTGCTGGGCTTTTTCTACAAAAAAAGCCCTGCGCCTCCTGAAGTCTGCTTAGGACTGCACTATAAAAGTGCATGCATGTGTGTGTTTGTGAAATTACTGAGCATTATCACTAGGCATTATAACTATCTCTGTGGTTATTATGAACTCAAAAAATGTATTTGAATTATTATCCAGTACAGAGGCTCCAGAGGACTCAGGTGATGTTTACTTCTTGAAACAGTGCATGGAAGGCAGTGGGTTCTCTCCATATCCTTTTACCCTCTTTCCTGTCCACAAATGGATTGTGTAACAGGAACTGAAAATACTCTCTTCCCTCCACATTTGCATGTAGCATATCAGTCAAAACATCAAATCAAGCAAGCCCTTTGCAAAAGTGCCATGGCTGATTTACAATTTGACTCAGCTCTGGCTGGTTCTGCAGCTGGCATTCGCTCCACATTTTCTCAACACTGGCCACTGAGGAAAAGCTGCAGCTCAAAACCACATTCAAATACCCGGGGCCAATGCAGTACTGACTGCAAAGTCACCCCTGAATGGCCATAAAACGGCCATAAATCTATGCAGAAGGTACCATAAAACCTGATGATCAAAAAAGTGAAAGGGGCATGCAATGCAGAAGGTACCATAAAATCCAATAATCAGAGGAAGTGAAAGCAGCATGCAATGCAGAGGGGAATTCTGTTCCAATGTGGGTTTGCTAAAAACAACAGAGGAAAAAGCCAATGCAGAATCGCCCTGAGTGTGCAACGATTACCCACATGCTGGTCAGAGGGAAAGCCAGAAAAAAACAGCCCTAGGCCAGTTGCAAATTATTTCATTTATTTAACTCTCCAATGAACAGACTCAATAACTCTCCCCCTTTTTTGATAATATACTTTGAATGTCCAATGACTTTTGCAGCCCGATCTTACGCAGCTGCAGATTCAAAAGCTTTTACGCAAAAAGCTAAAGTTGACAACTGACATGAAATACACTGAGCAAAACTGTGAATACTCCTGGCATCCCTTTAATAATGGCACAGACCTTTGGGTGGGTGCAGAATGCTAAGCCACTTCAATCGATTTTTATCACATTTTTCCCCCCAGAAGCACCTCAGGCAAAATAGGACTAGGAGACACAAACTGGAATTGGAGAACCTTGTGAAGCAGGGAGACTAAGTGTAAATTTGAGAAGAAGAGAAGAGATTGGATTTATACCCCGCCCTTCACTAGGTGGGGCTGAGAGAGTTCTTTCGAGAACTGCTCTTGAGAGAACAGCTCTGAGAGAGCCATGACTGACCCAAGGTCACACCAGTGGCTGCATGTGGAGGAGTGGGAACTCAAACCCGGTTCTCCCAGATCAGAGTCCGTGCTCCTAACCACTGCACCAAACTGGCCCTTGCATGCAGTTATGAAACTCACTGGAATGCTGTTCAGACTTCACTTTTTGACACTCTCAACAGCACATAACTAGAATGAGTGCTGCCTGCAGTCCTCCCAAAATACATGGTCACCATTTTGTGTGAAGAGGGGCAATGCACCTATTTTTATGCGCTTGTTTCCCCTTTACATGCAAAATGGCAACTGTGTTTTCTGGGAGGATTGCAGGTAGGACTTGCTCCTGTTGCACAGGGTTGGAGCACCAAAACTGAACATCCAAATAATGATAGTTTTAATAGTCTCTCTCGCTCAGACCAACCTACACCACAGGGAGTTGAAAGGAAAAAATGGAGAAGAAAAAAACCATGCTGTTATGTCCGCAGGCCGCCACTGGGCGCCTGCGATTCAGCGGAGCTTGAGTCCAGAGAACAATGAGGACTAGGCTCCTGCACCCTGCCTCTAGGGAACCAATGGGACATTGGCGGGAGGTTTAAATGGGCCAATGGGATTCCGCAGGGGTTCCCCAGAATGTATATAAGCACATGTTCAGGAGTGTATAGAACGGATCCTGCACAAGCTAGAGACATTAAAGTTGCAGGGGACCCCCCCTAGATGTTCCTCTGCATGCCCTCCAAGTTATGTTGCTTTGAAGTTTGGTAAACATTTTGACTGAGTGGAGATTGCCTAGAAATGTATCATTCACGAATCGCCATGATACCGCCGCCGCCACTGTACCCCCACCGTGTTGTCATCTTTGTTGGTGGAATCTTTTTACAAGGTGCGCTGGCCCTGGGATGGAAGAACTGACAAAGTGGAGTACTAACCAGAAGAGACGTCAGCATTCCCTGGAGCGTATCATCAGAATCCCCATCTTGGAATTGTTAGAGTTTACTGTTGAGCACCGATTTTAATTGTAATACTTATTTATTGGTTTTAAATTGTTTTATGTATGGCATTTGCCTCTTATGTTAGCCGCCCTGAGCCTATGTGGAAGGGCGGGATATAAATCTAATAAAATAAATAAATAAATAAAATAGCTTGAAAGTTTAGAAACCAGTGGCACCTTTAAGACCAACAAAGGTTTATTCAAGGTATGTGCCTTGCACACGAAAGCTCATACCTTGAATAAACCTTTGTTGGTCTTAAAGGTGCCACTGGACTCTAAATTTGTTCTGCTGCTTTAGACCAACAC